TGAGATAGATGTCGGTAATAGAGCCAGTCTCATATGGTTCACTCTGTTTTAGTTAATAATCATCATCTGTTAAAAATTGGTCTAATGTAGTCGGTAGGTAAAAAAGAAGAATCTCAAGAATTCTTCTTTTTTTAATATTTTTAGAAAATACTTGAATTTAATGAGATAGTAGAATTACAACTGATATCAAATGCATTTCCGCGGTTAATTTTATTTTTGTGAAACTCACACGTAGACCTATGGCTTTTTCCAATATCGATTCATTTGGTCCTAGACTGATGCGATAAAGATATGCATGTAGATGGAATGATATATGAACGTGTATTTAATAAAGTATACTGGATAAATGATAAATAAAAGAGACGATTTGATATATGACAGTGATTCGTTTCGTGAAATAATCTTTTCGTACTATAAAACTTGATGCTTATGTTAACGAGGATGCATCCACATACAACCGAACAATGAGCAAGGAAATCTATTTTCTCCAATGGGATCAACCAAGCATCAATATAAATGCAACTGATAATTACAAGACAAAAGGAGATAAAATTCAGCGAAGACAATGATCGAATTACCCTATATATAAATATCGGGTTTGTATTTTATTGTTCAATATTTTATGATGAATGCGCAGTATGTTTTGTATTAAATGCTCAGTATTTTTTTTCTCAGTAAAAAATTAGTCTTAGCATAATGAATAATTTGAAACGCTAAGTAATTAATTCAACAAGACTCAATGATCAATTAAAAAGATGAAGTATTGAGTTAATTTGTGTTCAGTTATTTATAAGTTTATGTCAGTAAGAATAGTATAATTTTGACATACAATTAACAAGCAAATAATGAAACAAAGAATGTACATCAGTAGAAAACAAAGAGTTTATTGCATCAGCAATGCCTTCTTAGATTTTGATAGTCTACCACGATATTTTTCTTCGCTAAATTTAACATCTATTAGCAACAGGTCGCTATTTGTAACAGTTACACCTAATGATCAAACCAATGACATGTTTAGATATAAATTTATTGAGAAACTTTTATCGTTTAAATAAGGTGGGTGTGGTTGCAAATGTGGAGAATCGGAACAATCATGTTAGCAGCCACACCCAACATTATCATGGAACTATGGTCCTACTCCGAAGGGAATTGCATTCAATCGATCATTGGTGTTTTTTCAGAATTAGTCTGCTTAGTATGGATGCGTCCAATCACTAATCTCCAACATCTTCAAGAATTCTATCAAATGAAACCAGATGATCAGATGATTTCGACTAAACAAAGTGCGTTACTGGCTGTCTTTATGTATATCCCTTTAAGTTATAATCTCGAAAAGAACATTGTCTCAACCATATAAGTGACAAGTTCGATTTTCATCGAAATTAACTGATCATACACTATCTCTGGACCGTTTTCTCAAATTCGAACACAGATCGAATTGATCATTTTTATTATTCTTTTCTCAAGTAGAACAAATATATTTCTTAGTGTACAGAATGTTTACAGTCTTCATCCAAGGTCATAGCGATTCTATCATGTTTCACATACGCATACAGAAGAAACTGTTCTTAAACCATTTTCTGCAAGTTTTTTTAAAATCTATTTCCGAAGAATGCATATCGATATGTCAAATATGTTTCTTTTACATTACCATTTTGTTTGGCAATCATCAAATTTATTTATCTTCTATTTGTTTTCAATCCACTTGATTCTATTATCTATGAAATAGGCGCTGCACACTCGTGCCCTTATCAAAGTCATTTTTGTCAATCAAGCCAACGTCTTCTGGTTTTAAACGCATTCCCATTGCCGAATTCGTTCAGAGATGCATGGCTTCCGTTGGATTGTTCATAATTCTGACACAGTTACAGAGGATTATTTTTGAAAGTTAGCCTTCGATAAAAGAAATTTAGATTGAAACTCTACTTTTCTCTTCTACAAACTGAATAATAATTCAGTAATATCATCGTTAAAATGATTTTAGGCTCTTGTGAAAGAATTTTATCGATTTATAGAAATTGGTCTATGTCACAATGAAGTAAACTGCTAAAATGAAACTGTTTTGAAAATAATCTAGTCATGTGTGCTAATAATTTCAAAAATGGCAGAATTACAAATTTAATTGCTTCATTCTTTAAAACTCGTTACCACAAGAAACAACACTATGATTGAGGTAATGGGATCGGGCCGACTGTTGGCATAATGAAAATACTTAATACAATTCATCATTCCATCTTAAATTAACTAAAACTACGACATGTCTACAATTGTCGGTCAACTCATCGATTGGCAGTAGCGACCGAAATTTTTCAAGGATTTTCAATTCGAATTATTTTAATATGGAGAAAATTTGCAACAATAAACGAAGAAAATAGTATTGGAGTACATACTAACAAGATACTAGACAACAACAGCTTTGGAAAATGATCCTAGGCTTCAAAAATTTTTAGAACTGTACTGTCTGTTTTTGTATCATGACAGCGGCTTGGTAAACCAGTTCATATGTCTAGACATAGATGTGAATTTCGTTGAATAGAACTACTATTTTGCACACCTTAGAATGAGAGAACGGTTGATATGTAACTCTAGATACTTGTTAATATAATAAACTCAAAAATAGATCAGAACTTGTATGAAACAAGTTTTTAAAATAATAAGCATTTTCATTTTGAAGACAGATATTATTTATGTATTCTTATACTCGTAGACAAGATGAATTAATCAATAGATATTCATATGTTATTAAAATGAAATTTGCCAAGTTGTTTCACATTGAAAAATTAGATAACAAAAATTGTCACCGTCTTTTCGTTGAACTATTATATTTTGATAGACCATTCGCGATGGATTAGTAGGGATGTGGGCGAATGGAAAGGAGATATACACAACACCAACACTCTTCCTTCCACACACGTACCCCATATGGAGAGAAAAATCAGGACCCCCACCCTCCACAAACCGTGACAGACATTTTTTACATCTGATTAAAGACCTTATACTACTAATATCGTATCACAATATATGAAGTACTTTCGGGTTTCAATTCTAGAGGATTAAGTAAACGATGATGAAGTATGTCGCAAAATAGATCGACTAAAAGGATTTTTGTGTTATTAGAAACAACAGGCAAATCGTGCTTCACATTTTAATCCCAAGGATATTGCGCAACCACCTTTTTTTTCTCTTTCCCAACGATTACGATTATGATGAAAGGGAATAATATGAGTCATTTGATGAGAAAGGATTGCAACATTTATCATAGAAAAAAAGCAAACTTAAAAAGCACGTTGCAATGAAGGTTGACGTAAAATTTTTTCATCCAGCAAAGGGCAATCAGCACGTTTTTTTTTGTTTTTCTATTGCAAAAAAAAGCAGAAAGATGAAATTGGAACGGTTACCCAATGAAGTATTTCATGATCTATTCGAATTCTTCGATCCTATGGAACTGCTTCATGCTTTTGAAGGTCTCAATACTCGCTTCAATAGACTTCTCTTCATTTATTTTCGATCGTATCGTCTAGATTTTCGTGCTCTATCGAAATCAAATTTTAAGCGTATGTGTAAACAATATTTGCCATTAATTATTGATCATGTAAGTTCAATTTGTCTATCAAATGGTGAAGAAACTTAATAATCATACAAACATCTCATTCCTTATGGTCTTACAATTGATGAATTTACTAATTTACGATCGTTATTACTTCAAAAAATTAATTCATCAGATACAATTCTTAATATTACATCAGATTGTTTTTATCTTCCATATCTTACTCATTTGAAGATTGTTGAATGTAAGTTTACATGTGGCAAAAGTTCCCAACAGCTAATTAATAATATATGGCATATAATCAACCTCACACATTGTAGTTCGGGTGTGATTTTCGCGCGTACATTTACTTTTGTTGGATTACCAATAATTTCAAAGTCTATCAAATATTTGTCAATAAAAAAATTTACATTTTCTTCGATGGAACTTACTCATCTACTACGTTCCACACCTTCTCTTCGACATATTTTCATTACATTTGCACAGATTGTTAACACTGAATTAGATCGAATTTTTCCGATTCCATTGATCACTAGTTTACAACTTCAGTTCAATGATTCACTATCTGCGTTGATAAGTATTTTGAAAAATATGCCTAATTTGCTACATTTAAAACTCGAAACAGGAACGATTAATTTGAATGGCAATCAATGGAAACAAATCTTAATCGATTATGTACCTAAGATTAAAATATTTCGATTTTTAATGAAAGTTTTTTCGTTTAGACACAATAACATGGATGAACAACTTGAAGATTTCTTAAATACTTTTCGAACTCCATTTTGGCTCGACGATCATCAATGGTTTGTTCGATGCGATTGGCCACAACATACAAATAAAGTATTTATTCTCTACACTTTACCCTATTGTTTTAGTGACACTTATGTTATTTATCAAAATCGATGGTCAAAAGCGACGTGTCCTAATGCTCACGATTATGACTCCTATAATCGAGTAACAAACGTATTTTATAAAGGACGTGTAGATAATTTAGCTTTATATCCTAGATGTTACCCAAATATTCGTCGTTTGACATTGAAACTTCCTTTTGATAATAATTTTTTGACTATTATTCCAACATTGGATCATTTGACTTCATTGAACGTAATTGAAACACGAGATAATAGTCGATCAAAATCTCAACTAAAAGCTTTACTCGATCGAGCGCCTCGTCTAGCTTTTTTAAGTGTTGATGTGATATCATTTTTACAATGGGCACAATCGAATATCACTCATGCATCTCTTCGTCGACTGTATCTAAAACATTATCGCGATAGAATGAATCATTATATGAATGCTACACAATGTTCTATATTGGCTGATTCATTAGTCGGACGCCAATGTGAAGTTCTTGCTATTCGTATTGAAAGCCGAACAATTATTCTTGATCTTATACATAAGATGTGCAATCTTCGTGCATTGAATTGCGAATGTAAAGATGATAATTGGATCAATAATTCATTATTATGTCCTAAAGATGAACTTGTAGAATGGTTGCGAAATTCTTTACCAGAAACGTATTACATTAGTCGGCATGAACCTCGTCTCGTACGATTGTGGATTAATAATTAAACGAGTGAAAAGATTTCTCGTTCGATAGAAAACTATCTGTTTTTTGTCTTGATCTTGCAATAAATTTCATCGCTACTGACTATTCTCACGTTATATTATTGAGCTTCTTGGAAATAAATCTATAGAAATACACAATTTCAGTGCAAAAATACGAAGAATTTTCATCAATCAATGGAAAATTATGCAAATTTCCATAATTCTCTAGTTATTACTGAAATTAAGTATTGCTTTTTGCATAAGATTCTCTATTTCTTAATCTATATATATGTAAAAGGTTATTTTTGAAATTTCTCAGTAATTTCTAACTTTGCCAATATTTTAAAGAGTATGGTCTTCTTCCTATCATCATTATTAATTGAAATCTCAACGCAATATAATTGCAAAATTTTCTATATTTACTGAAATTTCTTCGTAATTTCCGAAGTTTCTGAATAATGTTTCTAAAACACAATATCTCAAGAGTTTTAATTATGGAAATTATCCGTGAGCTGTCCCATAATGTTTGTACATTTTTTATTTTGCTTATATCTCTGAGCAGATCAATAACAAAACTTTGAGTTTTCTTTTCAAAAGATGCACTATTGAATTTTCTAGAAACTTCCGTAAACTTCAATGAAAAGAACTACTGCCCATTGTATTCGAATGATGCTAATTCTATTATATTGTCTAAAATAAATAACAACGAAAATATTCTTGTAGAATGTGGTGAAGTATATACGCGCTCTTAGTACCAACACTGTTACTACAGAACTTGAGCAATACATGAATACAACTAAAGTAATATTCAAGGCTTCATACGTTTCATATTTTCTAATTATCTGTAGATTGAAAATGAATGATTATTATAGTTCACTTGTCTAAATGCAGAAAATACTGTGAATTAATTCTTTATACATCATAAGTATAATGCAGTACTTTTTGAAAGTATTAAAGTTAATTTTATGTGCTGTATGATTGTAGAAAGTACTATTAAATACTTCTTCCGATTCCCAAAGTATCATAAATACTTTCGAACATGTAAAAAGTGCTGAAATGAATTTAAGACATGTTGGAAGTGCTAATAAGTACTTTAAAAAAAATCAAAAGTCGTTTAAACCACTAGTTGGAGACTCAGAGATACAATAAAATACTTCAGAAAGTGTAAAAGTTAATATAACAAACTTCATAAATGAAAAAATTCTATTAAGTACTTCTAAAAGTGTAGATAGTACTCAAATGCACTAGAAAAATGAAAACTAGTAAAAAAATGTAATTTAATTATTTGTTTTAATACTGAAAGTACCGACAAGTTGTGATTTTTATAAACTTTCTTTTTACACGAGACTGATCGTTTTTTCTATTTATAGCTTTCTTGATTCATTGCCTCACAACAACTCTTCTACGTAAAATATTTTTAAGGATGATTGCGTCAAATTGCTCAGGAAATCCAACCATTGGCATTATTCCTGCCAGACAAACAGGATGCACTTAACATTAGTGCAAAGAATGTATTGCATGAGAGCCGATTAGGCGAAAAGCACAGTGAATTGAAAGACTTCATCATGAACTGCAATTTAGCAAAAAATCCAAGAAAAAAAAAACTATTGGAGAAACGTTTGTCATCGCTCGGCATTTATCACTTCATTATCGTATTGATTCATCACAGTTCAGTACCGTTACTTTTGCAATTTCAAGGGACAAGAATCTCTTGGAGTTGTCAGTAGCATGAAGTGATGTATCAAGCTGAATACATCATTCGTTATTTTTCACGGTCGAGATAGGTCGCATTCTATCTTGTCGGTTACGAACATTTTCTTTGTTAAACTCGTCGATTATATTTTTTATTTATTAATTGATTTTACGCCCAATTTTCAAATTATTTTTGGAATTATTAATTAAGGTTAGTATCTCCAGGTGTTTTTACGTCAGGTGGTCTCNTGTGGGGCGGGGCGTGCGTGGGCCTCCGCCCCCGGGGTCGCCCCGCCCCGCCCTCCCCCTGGCCGCGCCCCCCCCCACACCGACCCTCACCCCCACCCCCACACCCACCCCCACCCCCACACCCACACCCACACCCACAGTCACACCCCACCCCCATCCCTACACCTCAATCACACCCACACATCAATCACACCCACACCTCAATCACACCCACACCTCAATCACACCCATACCTCACCCGCACCCACACCCCACTCACACCCTTACTGAAAAGTAAAAATTAAGAGTAACAGATTGGTTTGCATCAAAGTGATATACTTAGGGCATACCAAAAATACATAGAGTGGCACCTTAGTACTTTATAATAAGCTCAAAGTAATTTTCTTTTTATATAGTCTGGTACAGAAAAAATAGCTCTATCTTTCTATTCTATTTGATCGTACTTCAACTAGTACCATGATATTAAATTATCTATAAAACCTATTTCGAAACGATATGTGCTGGTTGTACTAGATCATATTTTATTTTTCAATAGTTGTTATCTTATTTTTATTTCTGTTATTCTTTTCAAGTTTTGATGTCATTAAATGTTCGAAGTAATCACTGTTGTTTTTGACGCACAATTGCATTCGTTGAATCCACTTATCAAATGTTTTTCTATATTCTTCTTTACTTAAAGAATTCATGAAGTTGCACACAGCACGATACAACGATTCTGAATTGTTTTGATCACTCAGATTTTGTTTGATCAAGTCGAATAGCCAAAAATCACATGGTGATAAATCCGGAGAATTATGGGGATGTGGAATTATTGTGACACCTTCAGACTCGAGATAATTTGACATATCTTCATGAACATGTTCGGTCGCCCGTTATCATGATGAAGTTTAATACCTTGAACTCCACATACCGGTCTTTGCTTCCTGATGTTGACAATGAGTGATTTTAAACAATAATCAATGTAATATTGATGGTCGATAGTTTCTCCTTTTTCCACATAATGAATTAAAACATGACCTGTTGATTTTAAAAAAATGCAGAATAAAGTTTTCGGAGAAAAATGACCCTGCCGAATCACTGTAAGTGGAGAATCACCAATCGCAACCCACGCAGAGTTTGATGATTTTCGACCAATCTGCTTATGGTAGAACCAGGACTCGTCACCTATTACCACATCGCATAGGCGCCATGCATTTGATTCGAATTTTGCTAAGTTTTCTTTGCAAATTCGAACTCGTTCAGCTCGTTGAGAATCAGTCAGTTGCTTGGGTATATAACGAGCGACAATTTTTCTAAGGTTCAGATGATCGGAGATTATTCGTTGAATAGTGCCATGACTAAGATTGGTTTGTGTTTCCAATTCTTCTATTGTAATATAAGGATCATTATTTATAATGCTGTAAATTTGTTCAATATTTTCAGATGTGGTCTCAGTAATAGGTCTTCCAGGTCGTTCTTCGTCTTCAATATGTTCTCGACCTTCACGAAACAACTTAGACCATTTTGCGACAGTGCTCAAAGCAGGAGCTTCATCACCGAAAACAGCACGTAATTCATTATGAATAACTGTTGGTTCAATATTAAGTGCAGTACGCACTTTGATGTAAAATCGAAAATTTTCTTTATTCATATGGAAATAAACACGCGCCCCTCTCTACATGTATATATATATATATCGATGACTAAGTCTCAGAGAAGAAAAAAAAGAAAGAAGAAGAATTACAGAAATACTAATAAGATAACAACTATTGAAAAATAAAATATGATCTAGTACAACCAGCACATATCGTGTCGAAATAGGTTTTATAGATAATTTAATATCATGGTACTAGTTGAAGTACGATCAAATAGGATAAAAAGATAGAGCTTTTTTTCTCTATCAGACTACATAAAAAGAAAATTACTTTGAGCTTATTATAAAGTACTAAGGTGTCACTCTATGTATTTTTGGTATGCCATAAGTAGATCGATGTTTTTTATTTGAGATCCTAAGTAGGTATGCAGCAGTTTCCAGTCGTGACTGGGTATATATTGTTACTGAGGGTCAAATTAATACGACTGGATATACCGCTGTCCGATTCCTAAGAAGTCGCCTCAGGCCCAGTCCGACTGGATTTGAGGTGAAATGTTACGAATAGAGTGGCAGCACACTCAATCATGTTAATTTGATCTTTGGAAACACTTGATATCCAGTCCGACTGGGTGACTGGGTAGACTGGGTCACCAGTCGGACTGGGATCCAGTTGGACTGGGATCCAGTTGGACTGGGATCCAGTTGGACTGGATATCCAGTCTGACTGGTACTCAGCCCGACTGTACTGGTGCATCTCTAACTCTAAGATTTAATGTGCGAATCTTTGTCTTATCTCTTTTAAAAGTTGGTCTTGCAGCTGAAGATATGTTAGTTGTTCAACACGTGCCTTCCAGCCATCTGCACAAGTTCCAGTTTCTTGCTTAATCATTTCCTCCATTAGCTTACCAAAAGATGCGTCTGTTGAATGAGGTTTCAGTGCGATTTTATCGAGACGCAAAACGATGTCATTGATGCCTGCTAGTAGACGGATTATATGCACACGCGTTTGGTTGAATTCTGGTTCAATGCGTAAATCAAGTTCATGTGACGATAAGGCTGCACCTTCTATCTTATGGTAATCTTGAATGCTCTTTGAATCCAAGGGTACCTTCTCATATGTATACTCATACCGAAAAGTCTCCTTGATATGAGATGATGATGGACATTTTTTGGGGCATATGTTGCAGCGAGTATCTCTAGGGGCCATAAGTTGTAGAAAAACGAAAAGATTTTCATAGTAATGATAGTTCATAACCTGACAATTCCAAAGATCGCCATTCTTTCGATTGCATGGATAATGGCACGTTCGTTTGCAACTAGAACAGTTCGTTGCAGTTTCAGAATTTGAAAGTTTTGTATAGTTCCATTTACGACATGTAATATATTCTTTTTCTTCCATTATTTTCCGATTCGATGTAGAATTATGATGTTGTAAGTACTCAGTTTCTTTCTTGAGGTTGACTAAATGGTATAATTTAGAATTAATTTCCTCTCTTCGATTTTCTAGCACATTATAAAGATGCTGTCGTTGTCTGACGACTTCATTCGTCAGTGACAAACTTTGCGGCTTAAGTTTGATCATTATATCAAAAAATTGTTTTATAGACTTTATATTCTTCTTCCATGCAATTTTATTCGCGGTATGGTCATCATCATCGTCGTCGTCTTCACCTATTTCTCGACTTTCCTTTTTTTCATTACTACAGAAACACTTGCTATTATTAAAGAGGAAATACTTTTGATAGGGTATTCCTGCTGCCTTTGTCGCGTCCACTACATCGGCTTTGTCACTATCAGCGTGCGTTACCATCAGCAGAATATTCTTCTCGATGTCCTTTCCGAAAACGGAGAGTATAGAATGGTAAATATACTTTTGCGCTGCTGTAAGACGACATTGCGAGCTCTGGACTACAATGCAGACTGCATCAATACGATCGATACCGCCCTTAGCACCATTCAGATTGAAAAATTTACCCAAATTTTGAGTCGTCCTAATATCAGTTTCGACACCATGTGTGTCATTATACCCAGGAGTATCGATCAGCGTTAGTGTATACTTCACAGCACAGTTAGGTAGACAATGTAGTGTGTAGGCAGTAATCCAATCTGTTTGACTTTCTGTTTGACTTTGGACTACACCATTTTTCGCTTCGTCTTCTCTCGGTATTAAAAATAGTCTAAACTCATCATCCCATTTAGTTCCATAATAATAATTGGTTAGACTGTTAATTATCGTTGTTTTTCCAGTACCCGTTTCGCCAATAAGTAAGATGACTTTTTCTTCATGTGGAAAAGAAGTAAGTTCCTGCGATGGAGTGACATAGCAACGACGCAATCGTGAGGAATCGTCAATAATTACTTTTCTGTATGACAATTTATACCAATATGGTTTGCAGGAGTCATCTTTATTAAGAGGCTGCAATTGATGGCCTTTATACATTCGAACTGCAGGTGTTGACATTGTTGATATCGATGTGAAGCAAGATGAAGAAAAAAGGTTGCTAATATACGTATGTTTTCAGACGCACAGTAAATGTGTGAGTCACGGATAAATTCTGAAGTTCAATTTTAGTGTAACTCGTGCGAATTGTTGCGTACTAATTTTTACCTATATATTTCATCGTGTTATATGCATTCGAAAAGGATAAAATCCAACGACAGAATGACACATAAGATAAATTAAAGCACATTCATCACATTGATTCACGTGTGATAAGTTATTTCATAAGCTAACCTAAAGATTCTTATCATGACACACGAAACTTATATTTCTTTGTCGCAGAAAATAAAGTTTATCTTTCAAACAAACATAGAACCTATGTTGACATTACCAACATATCTAATAAATGCTATAGCCAACATTGAGTCACCATCATAATGGCTTCATTACATCGTTAATCTCAAATTTCCGTTTTAATTTCATTATGTCTATTTTCTAAGAATGCATTTAATGTTGTTATCTGTGGGTGTAAGTGTGGGTAGTGTGGGTGTGGGTGAGGGTGTGGGTGTGGGTCCGAGTGGGTGCGGATGCGGGTGGGCGTGGATGTGGGTGTAGATGGATGTGGGTGTAGGTGGGTGTGGGTGTAGGTGTGTGTGGGTGTAGGTGGGTGTGGGTGTGGGTGTCAGTGTGGGTGGGTGTGGCTGTGGCTGTGGGTGGGTGTCGGTGTGAGTGGATGCAGGGTGTGGGTGCGGGTGCTGGTGGATCAGACAACGAGATTCACCCACACCCACACCCACACCCTAATTGATAATAATTCAATCAACATTTTTGAAAATCAATCAATTCCTCTCAGGGTATATAAAAAGATGTATGTATTATCATGCTACAATACACTCGAGTTGTATTATATTATAATGCATTACAGTGTTATTCATATACCCGGGATCATCATTATTATATTATATACAATATTAATGATATGCTATATTACTTAAAAATGAGGTAAATAAATTCATTTTATGTTTAAAAATTAATTTTTTTTGTAGATGAGCTTCGACATCATATAACATTGAGAGGTACGACAAAGTAATTTCATTTTTTTTACATATTGAGTTGAGTATGAGTATGAGTATTTTTGAGATTAAATGAGTCATAAATATTATCAGTATGGGTCAGATGGCCATGTTGTCTGATTCAATAGGAGAAGAGAAGATTGCCATAGCGAAGCAGTGTCGTATTATGGAAAGCCTTCATGAGTCGTTGGTCACCACCGTTAATATGCGGCATACCTTCGGCCATTGCTCTACGAGTTCGGTGTGATCCGCTCTGTGGTACCTATGGCAATCTGCAACAAGGGATCTCTTCTTTGTCGCGCGAAAGCGAAAGCGAAAAAAAGTGAATAGCAAATCAATTTATTGAGCAGAAAAAATAACAAACAATTACATTTTCTTTCGAATGTTTTCAAATGTTTCTTTATACTCCAACAAATGGGGATGAGTTGAAGGTAATTTTTCTTGAGCAATTTGTATCGCTTGTTGAACATTTTTCATTGCCATAGTATATTTTCGAGTACATAAATATAATTTTCCCATAGTATGATATACAACAACTAAATCAGGATGATCTTTCGGTAATTTCTGCTCACGTATTTCTAATCCTTTTTGAAAATATGTTAATGCTGTTGAATAATCTTTCATTTCTCGATATGTGTCACCTAAATTTATATATGTCAATGCCCATACTAGAGGATTACATTGACCATTTTCTTGAATATTTAATAATTTTCGATGAAATGAAAGTGCTCTTTCGTGATCACCCATTCTTCGATGAACATCACCAATATAACTATAGGTTAAAGCTAGAAGCGTATGATTTTCAGGTAAAGCTTTTTTCCGAATTGAAAGACACTTTTCGAAATTATCAAGTGCTTTGGGATAATCTTTCATGCCGCGATAAATCTTTCCAAAGCAGTTATATGGAAAAGCTAAATCAGGATGATTTGCACACAAAACTTGCTTTTTGATTTCCAAGCTCTTTTTAGAATATTCAAGTGCTTTCGAGTAGTCATCCATGTCGTTATACACTGAACCAATGTTGTTGTAGGATTGAGCCGAATCGGGATGAGTCGGAGACAGAGATATTTCTCTTATTTTAAGTGCTTTTTGGTGAAATTCAAGTGCTTTCGAGTAGTCACCCATTTTGTTATACACTAGATCAATGTTGCTGTAGGAACTAGCGAAATCGGGATGAGTCGGATGCAGAGATATTTCTCTTTCTTTATTTAATGTGGCAAATCAACATGTATTAAAAAACATTTTTTTCTTTCTATTTTGACGTATTATATATATATAGGTTCTTTTTTAATTAAATTAAATTAAATTAATTCTTTTTTTTTTTTTTTTTAATAATTATTTTGTTTGAATTTGTACAAGTAAATATTTACAATAGTAAAAAAAATTTTTACAAGGAAACGTTGTGAATAAGTTAAATACAGAGTGAGAGATAGAGAGAGTAAATAATGAGAGAAAGACGAGTTAAGAAAAACAGGGTATGAATAAACGCTAGGCCTTTCGAGTTTTTTCTTTTTCAAGCGAAGATGAATCTATTTCCCTTTTTTCTTGTTTTTGAGTAATCTACATTTATCATTCATATTATTCCTTCTATTCGATCCTATGTTTCCGTATCTCTTTTTTTTCTTTTGGTTTCGAGAACAGTAGTTTTTTCTGCTCTTTGATGAAGATTCATTTGTTCTTTCTCATTAACCATTGAGTAACAGACTGTTGTCATTTTTTCTATTTTTCCTAGATGGAAGTGAGAGTGTCTTCATATATATTTTGATAGGTATTCAACTCGTAGTCTTACTATCTTACGTTTTTTTAATTCAGTTCTTTTTTTTCTATTTTTCGGAACCTTTTCTTTTTATATGCTCAGTCACCTTTTTTTAGTTAAGTATTTTACTTCCTACTATATATATCCAAGTATTGATTTGTGATTGTATATTCATTTGTCATTTTTGTTTTTCTTATATAAGCATTTTTTCTTTCTATATATTTCGGTTCTTTTTTCTTTTCATGTATTTAAGCATTTTTCTTTGTATCAAGTATTGATTTCTAGTTGTACAACTCACTATCCGTTTGAATATATATTTTCTATTATACATTTTTGATACTTATTTCTTACTTTTCATATATAAAGAGGTAATTACTCCTTGCTATGTTACATATTTAGGTATTTATCTTCTTGTTGTATGTCAAGATGCTTTCTTTGCTATTTCTCGTTAATAGTTATAGAATATCAATTTTTGGTTATGTATTTATTTTTCGTGTTATATATTTAGGTATGTATTTTCTTTCTTAGATTTGGGGTGTGTGGGTGTGGGTGTGGGCGTGGGTGTGCGTGCACATGTGGATGTATATGTGGAAGTGATGATTCACACCCACACCCACACCCACACCCTTATATGTTGGAATTTTTGAGCGATATAGTTTCTTTTGCAAATCTTACCCACTCTGCAGGCAGCTATACCAAGCCTCAAAGTTACAAATAAAGGGGTTATGTGTCTAATTTGAAAGTCATATACTTCGGGCTATTGTTTCTAGCTTGATGAAAATTTTGTTCCTTAAAGTCACTTGAATACACGGGTATCAATTGACCGGGCTTGCTATTTTGCATTAGCAGCATAAATCTCATGTCCTATTTATTTTCATACTTTTGTCGAGAGCGTGAGTGGGGCTATCTAACTGTAGAACAGCCAAAGCACACACCACATCCTCACCCTTGCTCTCAGTTGTTTACGTTGACTATTTCCACATACTATGTGTGAAAATTGAAGGGATAAACATGCTTTGGGGAAAAACTAATAAAATAAAACCGATCAAGAGCTACTGCTTTTCCATTTTCTTGATCTTTATTATTGTCTAGCGCACTTGCCTATCCTTCAACATGCAAGAAAGGGAGCAGCCTTTTTCTGTGTATTACACTTAAACAAACATTTTCTTTCTTATCAGTATCATGCTGTTTGCTCAAGAATATTTCTCTATCAATAAGCAACGGTCTCCTTCAACCAAAGTAACTAAGGCACAGCGTCATCAAATATTGGCCAAAAACGAGCATACCTTTGAAGACAGTAGACACAAAAAATGCGAAGCTGTTTATTTTCTCTTGAACATCCATGTAGTCTACTGCGTTTCACAATAAGATAGATTTTAACATAGCGTTTTGCACTGAATGTTTTTCTTCTCCTTATAGGTTGATACACAAAGAGCATTCATGAAGGCTACCCTTCTATTCTCACTTGTCTTCACATATACATGGATAATAAATAGCTATCTGGTCAATGGATCTGTTCATGATGAATCAGTAAAATTAATAAGCGAGGCCTATTTCGAGGATACACCTCCTGATCCTCCAATATATCCTCCAAGGTGGACAGCAACTGCTCATTTCCAATTTATCAATGCTTCAAATAATTTTCCTGCTGGTGCTGGTATCTTATACCAAATAATTGATTCAATTAATCAAAAATTTCGAGCTGATGACCTCTATTTTGCGGGAACATTTCCCGTTCCCTATGATACTCTTTTTGCCTCATCCACACCTCTTGAAAAATACCTCTACTATGCCAGTCTAACAGCAAATGGAATATCCTGTGTTATATATCCAGGGAATCCAGTTACACTCTCACAAAATTGGATTGCAGAGTTATGCTCGTACAATTCGACATTATATTATCAGACAACCAAAGCTTATCGATGGAATTGTGCGACGGATGTTGTAACTTGGTTTATTGATACAGCAGCTGTTGATGGACGTCTCATTTATCAGCATACTCTCCCTCAACCATTGTTTAATGTCTATCAAGACTTGTGGTTCACAAATTACACTGTTATTCTGGAAGAAATCGACCAAACAGTTTTCATTCCACCAAAAGGATGGAATTGTCCGAATTATGAAAGTGCCCAATCCGTGAAGCACACATCTTCCATAACACTCTTATTTATTCCTATACTATTATATAATCTTAAAAACAATTATATTAACTAATTCCTAAACCTATTACAAATTCTATTCTGTGTTCATAAATAAGTGAACACTTTATGTTTCAAGCACTTTATGGAAAGTTGATCGATTTTTTTCGTATAATAAAAAAATCAAAACTTTAGGCGACTACATTCTAGTAATCGATAACGTTTAGGAAAACACAAGCTATTCGTAGATCGCTTTCATCGTTAGTATTGTTTTCATGGGCAAGCCACTATTCGAACAGCTGAATGTTATCGAATATATTCACCGGATATTTGCTAAGAAAACAAAAAAAAATGGAAATAGATAAAGTGACGAGAAAAATGATCAGATCAGTATCTAAATTATATATACTCGCATAAAGATGATAGCTAGATTCTAGTTTCATTTTTTTGTCGGGGTGTGGGTACACTAATTGCAACTCTCTGCACCCACTCCATTTTAAAAATTTTCTACTGTTCGTGGTCAATTGTTGATCTACAATCTGTTAGTTGTAAGCTTTTTTCAACCGATTACACCATAAGAAATGTCGGTTCCATATTGGTTGGAAATGTCACGCTATTAAATATTAATCGAGAGTAACATGTTTATGAAACATTCTTGAACAAAATCTAATGGCCGAGAAAGAAAATTTTTTTCAAATTTTTTATTCTGTGATTGGAATCTTGTTACTAAAAGTTGATAAAGAAAATGTTTTTGAATCGATCGATAGTTTACAGAGTTGTCTTGTTCCCGAAGGCAATTCGAATTTTCCTGTGTTAAATTATTTTTTTATATCAATTATATGAATAAGTCATCAGTGACGAGTTAGTAGGTAAAGGAATCAGAAGTTCTAATTTTCATGGGGAGAACACATTTAATAATCGATGATGGATGGTCTTAACATAAAATAGCAAAACCGTTCATTTTCTTTGAAATGATTTGGTAGAAAACAGCACACTTCCTATAAAAAAAAAAGACTAAAAGTTTGATTTACATTGATTTTTCGAAGAAAAGATCGGTACAAATCGATTAAAATAAATTATTTTTATAAAATCTAAAATATTGGATTAAAAATCTAATCGATTTTAACCGAATAACTCTAGTAATTCATTAGAATCGGATATTTCTGGAAAATCTCCAGCACTGAATTTCAACTCTAATAATAGATTAAAACTAACTATTTTTAGAAACTCAAGGTAATTGATATAATCGATTAAATTTGTTTCTTTATTGTAGAAAAACCAGAATAATCGAGTCTTTTTTTTTGAAAATTCGAAATAATCTTTTATTGTGAAACAGAAGTTGAAAAGATTGCTGATCTATATGAAGAAGAAATTCAGTGGGTGACTCATTCTGCCCCTCCTCCGGCGCTTGTCTCAGGATATGGGTTTGGGTATGGGTATGAATGAATAAATTACCTGCACCCACACCCAACCAATTAGACCTTTGAGATGATCATATCTTTCAATCAGTTCCCGACTCAAATGAATTCGAAAGTTGCCAAATTAAATAGTTTTTTATACTTCACTCTGAATAGCATTTGGGGGTAGAATGTGGAAGCAAGAGAGAGTACATGAATGCACACAGAACAATATGGGACGATAATGCAATGATGTTGCCAAGATAAGAGAAAAAGAGAGGAATATTTTCCATCAAGTCTAAATAATGTTATAGTGACTGTAATATGCGTACCCCAATGCCAAAGGGCTAATACATAATTTGTTCAAAGTTAATACTTTGAGTGTGTATATATCATGGTTAATGAATAAAATAAAATGAAAAAGAAAAATAAGTCGAAATATTGTTCATTAAAATCACAAATATATTTAATTACCTTCTTTAGAAATTGGTCTTTACCTCCTGATATTTACTAACAAAAGTTTCATCATTTTGTTGTTATTTAAGAAAATTCAAGAAAACTATTAACTCTTTTGTGTAGTCAAACTGATTATTGATATAGCAAGAAATGTGATTACAAAATAGAATATATCTCATTGCCTACATGATAACAAAAGGAATAATATGGATCAACCAGCACAAATAAAGTTCAACATTTCAATGCTGTTGTTGTTGTCTTGCTTTTTTTCAAAATTAGAATATAGTCATTTGTAATTATTAAGTAATCATGAACTCAATCAATTTGTATTGAATAAATATTGTAGACGTGGAATATATGTATGAAGAAGACTTTTAAAAAGTGTGCCAAGTGAAGTCATCAAAAAACATGTGGGCGTCAGTGTTGGTGTCATTTGTTTTGGAAACAAAATATGACATTCCTGAATTACTTCTCGTCTCCATAGTATTTATATATGACCTAATGAATCAGCCACTTTGGTAGGCATGACTTCAATAGTATTTGAATATTGTAGTTAACAAACATGTGTGGGCTTCAATACGTATATAAATCGAGTGGATTTTTTCTATTTCTATTCTATAAAGTGTGTTTTAGTAACCAATATTTATGTATTCATTTCTCAGGTAAACATACAGCGTTGCATTGGTTGTTTTTTTTCGTTATGTTGTATTGCATGGTTTGTTTTTACTTTTTTTTTTGGCTACTCAAACTTAAGATATGAGAAAAGAAAGAAATCCAAGAAAAGTCAGCTAGAGTATGTTTAGTGGTAGTATGCGTAAGCAATGAGCGTCATACCTTCAGTCAAACCGTAGGAAGAGATGTGTAACGAGCATAAAATCATTTAATTACACTTATTCTTATTTGGCTAAAGTAAAAAGTATCTGAGATGTCATCAATGACAATTTTTCATTATTTCAGTTCAGTCGTAGAAAATTGAGTTTTCTGAAATAATCATACAAAACTTGATTGAATATCACCATTTTTGATTAAGTTCAGTGAAATTTTTGTCTTGTTTTTTTTATATGGGAACATTTTTGATTCTTTCATCAATTTATTCAATAAATAATGTTAAATTATTTTGTTCTCGTGAGTATTTAGTTTAAAAAACACCGAAAAAATGGATATATTTATTTATTTCTGTAATCAGAGATTTATTATTATGAAATTCATATTATATTTTTCAAAGAAAAATGCTGTGAATTCAAAGCTTAAAGTCAAAATTTTTTCGGGCTTTTCTTCCCAATATTTTAGTCTGAGTCGACGATCACAGGTTAATCAGACAAGCAAGAAAAAAAATAATACTGTTGGATAAACTTCAGTAGCAGCCAACCAGAACTGGTTTCAAATCTCTCTTTCAAAAGTGCTGAGCAACGGAATTCCACTCTGAACAACATTGATAACAAGACTTGGACTCTTCTAGAACATTCTACAGTTCCACTGAAGTTTGCATGGATCTAATAAGCTTTTCAATTTCTGACTTCGACACAAATAAAAATGTAATTTTCAAAATATCAAAGATGATGAGTAGTGATGCATTGATTCTTTAAAGTTGTGATATGATTAACATAAAATCATAAACTGATCAATTTATAACTTTAAGGATTACTTAATGTAAATATTTATGATCTGATCGAGATATATAAAAGAAAGCGAAGATCTTTTATAGATACGATAGATGAATGTACAATTGATTGACTTAATTGTTAATCAATGTTTAGAATAATTGTAATGTTAAATAAAGAACATCGGAGTACAAAAAAGAAAAATAACGAACGAATAGCAGAAAAATAAACAAAAAATAGATTATCGATAAAAAAAAGTCTCTGTTCGAAATGTAAAAATAAGTACAGCAGGTCGTTTCTTTGCGAATCAATTACTTTCGAGAAACAACTATAGTTTACAAGAGATTTTACACCTCACGTAAATTTGTATTAGTATAATAAAACTACAGAACAAATGTGAATTTCAAATTTTAGCTTCATAGGGTCTGCAATAGCAAGTTGACTTAATATTATTTGACATTCAATTTCAAAAAAAAAAGAATCTAATTGAGATATGTATGTTTGATATTTGAGTTTACTTCATACAACCAAAGTCGACAAGGTTTGAATCATTAATCTCTGCAGACATGTATAGAAAAAAGTCAATCGATTGATTGAAATTATTAAAGTTTGAATGTTTAATGCTTTTATCGAAACCTATTGGATCAAAAAATCACTTTAAGTGTTTATATCAGAGAAAAAAAGATTAAACATTTACAACTATTACACATTATTATGTTCATATATAAAAAAGAGAATAAATGAATATTGTACTTTATAAAATTCATCTGGAGCATGACTCGAACATAATTGCTACGAAAAATCTTTTTTGTTGCTGTTTTGACTGTACAAGAAAATTATTACTACATGCTCATAGTTTAAAAAACTTATTCGTTTCGTTTGCATGCGACTATTTTTAACCAAGAGAGAAATATTTAAAAGTCATAATTATTATTCTTTTTCTCAGGTTATTTTCTTATTTAATCATGTCTTTCAGCATTCCGTATAGGATTGAATAGAGCAAAAAACTTATTTCATGAAATAAACTGATTTGTTCTCATGGAAAAACTGTACTACCTATATAAATATAAAGAATAAGGACCTTGGCAAATTTCAACAAGTACTATAGATATTTCATAAAAATCAATTGGGAGTGGTCTAAACTTATTGACTACGCTAAGAGCGAAAATCAATCTGTAGCTCATTATGGAATTCTAAAAACAGATAGCAACTGCATTGCGTAGGATCGTGGATGAAGTTCTTATTTCCTTAAAAACTTCATGATTAAGCAAAATGATGTGATGCTTATTAATGCTGTCGTAAAGACACTTTTTACTTGGAATATGCCCTAATGAAAGGCAATAAATGAATTGTTTTCCATTCTTTCGAAAACAAATTTTGATCACATTGACTCTTTCAAGAATTTCCTATTTCTAGTATCCTTTTAACAAAAAAGCCGAGGAAAATTAGTTGTTAATGAAGCTTTCAATTGTAAATTTATAGATTTTTTTCCATCTTGTTGTTTTGAAGTCTTCCAAAGAACTCATTTTGAAAACCAACGTATCTTGTACGATAACTACAGTGAATTTTCAATCGCACTCTATCTTGTTTTGATCGACAACTATCCAAAAACAAAAATATCAATTGGATTCTTTTATTGAAATGGATACTATAATCTAACAGCATTATTGAATGTTGAAATACTATATTGCACGTAACAGGGTAATACATAGGAATCAATTGTTTATGAAATATATACAGTATACATTTCTTTTTAATTAGAGTAGCATGAATATTTTTCACCATTATTCAACGAATAATGCTTATACGACTATTATTTATTTATAAACAATTACATATGTTCAAAGTTTTCTCTAAAATGACTAATTAATTCAATAAAATAACTAGAAATGTAAACAAACAATAGGACTAATCATTATTTGAAAAAAAAACATGATATGTCAGTAGATGTGGTCACACTCGTTCCGTTTTTTGATACCAACACGTACATACATCATGCTGACTATTTTTACGACTGTTGAATTTAAAAATTTTATTCTATTTTTATAATAATTTTCGACTTTCACATACATGATCTAGTATATCTCTTTGTTTCAAAAACTTAATTTTGTTGGTTTACTTGTTCAAATACTAATCTAATTTAGATGATTTACATATTTTCTTATATGTATTGATTGATCAATGAAACGCCAACAAAGAAAATTGCTCAGATAAAAAAAATTATTCTATATCAAAAGCACTTATTGACTAAATTAAACTAATGGTAGGCATCGATGCAAGAAATAAGCATAGCCTTAATATGAAGTATATTTGTTCCGTATGTTCATTAATATTACGAGATCCTATACAATTGAATAATTGTGGTCATAGACAGTGTCAATCATGTTTCAGTCGTAACCATGCGTAGGTTCCAATATCAATTTTTGATAATATTTCTCATTTTTGCTTTTAAAGAACGATATTTAAATGTCGAAGATGTAATGTAGAAATATTACCGATGGAGGTAAGATATTTTTTCAGAATTGAAAAGAAAATGTATTTCCTTCTTGTAGATCATGCCTGATCGAGGTTTCAAAAATGATATGACATCACTACCTATTGATTGTTCGTTTTGTCAGTGGACTGACGTAGGTAATGTTAGCACCAGATTCGCGTATTTCCTGTGCCGATTCGCCCCTACGTCTGTGCTGGTCCCCTACTTGGTTGTGCTGGATACAGAATTTAATTCTCTATCGAATGGTGACAACTCCGGCCGGGGTCGTCGAGCAAAAAATTCGGTCCACCACCAAAAAACCGCTTTTTCCTCCATGTGACGAATTCGGAAAAGATGTAATTCCTATCCCGATTCGCGCATGCATCTGTGCTGTGCCCCTCTTTGCTTGTGCTGGATGCAGAATTTTGCGCNACATTCAAATTAATCCAGAGCTACACTGACAATATCAATTCTTAACTTTATGTTGATTGACGTTCGCTTGCATAGGAAGTGCAAACATCTTCCATTAGTGACTTATACTTGCAAAAAAAAAACAACTTTCGACACTAATTAGCTCTTAACAAAGTGTAGTTTTATGTTATATAAATAGAATAATAATAAGGTTTGTTGCAAATAGTTGAATCTCGACTGAACAATAAATTTGACGATCGATGTTTTCTAAAAGGTAGACCGAATTGAACACGATTGAATTTGTTTTTGATGAGGACACGTTTAAACAAATGTCTATAAAATAGATCAACGATTTAAACGTCAGAATAGTTGAAGAACTTTAAAGCAAAAAAGAACTAGATTATTCTATTTTAGTTAAAGGTAATATGTATGAATAGTACGTATAAATAAAACTGTATCGATCTATTATTAAGAAAAAATAGTAGATGAACTTAAATCAAATAGGAAAGATATATAAAAAAAGTATTAGGGAAGGATCTTTACAATACTCTGTAGAAATTTAAGAGTGTAGGGCGAAAGAGAAGAGACACACCAAACACTGAGTTTAACAACAAATATAAGGTACGGTCATCCGACGAACTAAATACAAGCCGCGATCATTCCAAAATAGGTCGTAATTGTCGTTTCGGCGTCGATTAACCGCGCTTACGGCATGGTTACCTTCGCTCTACCGTTGTACATCTGCGTCATAGACTAAAAATCCATTTTAATCCAATATGTTATCTAATCTTTTCCCCATAACTCTTCAATCACTGCTATTGCCCTTCTACTTATTTCTATATCCTTTAAAGTTGACTAGGGATGTTTAAAAACGAAGATTCTTTCATCACTATAATTCCAATACTTTACAATGTTCTTTTTGTTTTTCTTTTAAATATGAAACTATCATAAGCATTTATCATGGACTTAGATCTTAGAAATATTGGGAGAGATATGCCAATTAAAGAATGTTTATTTATCTTTTAAATTCGTGAAAATATTCATTAACTGACTTCCCATCGGATTGAAATGGAACTTTATTCGATAGATTTCTATATTTTGCGATAGAATCTCAAAACTGTAAAATAACAGAAAAAAAGAATCAGATTGAAAACAAGATTAGCATAAACCCAGTCGGATAAATTCTTTTATGAGTCTTTTTATATTTCATTAAGCTTATTTTATTGATTTCATTTTCTAAATAAATACAAAAGAAAACAATTATATTATATTATTTGATACATCATATTTACTTATTAACAAATTTTTCAAAATAAGATTCATTTCAAATATGAACTTTATTTAAACATTATTAATGAAAACAAAATTAAACGAAAATATTTTTCTTCGGTTAACATATATTCACAAAAAAAATTTACAGAAAAATAAGTGAATAACTCATTTGGTAATGTATGTTATAGATATTCTACAATATCATCAATATAAGTTTCATTTTTATGAATATCTTCATCATTTGTCATTGAATGAACTTTTTTCTTACATTTAAAACATTTTTTTCCAAATAAATATTTATCATAAAAATCAAGTGATCGAAAAGGAACTGGTAACCATAACCATGTTCGTAATGGAATTGGTAAAAGCTTCGGTTTGAATCTTTGAAGAATATTTATTAAAATAATTAAAATAATAACCAATACTATTGGACCAAGAACACCACCAAATACATACCTAACATAAATATTTAACATAATATTAAATCTAATATTCAACTTACCATCCAGCAAGTGAAAGACCAAATACAATTAAAGGAATAAGAAAAAACGAACAAACTATATAAAGAACAGCAAACCATCGATATTTAGCTGTTATTTCACCTAATTTTTTAGCCATTGGAATTGGAAATCGCATAAATGGAATTGGAAACCATATTAAAATTCCTTTAATTATTTATATAGAATACAAAATATAATTACAAAAAGACTTTTTCTTACCAATAATATTAAAAAATGTGTGACACAATGCTATTTGTAATGAATTTCTTAAATCTTTTTCACTTGTTGCAGTTAATGCAGCCATAATACCAGTTATTGTTGTACCTATATTTGAACCAATTGTAAATGGATAAACTCTTTCGATTGTTATTACACCAAGACCAACTAATGGTGTTAATGTTGATGTAAATATTGAACTACTTTGAACTAATATTGTTAATATACATCCAACCTATTCAAATTTAATTTAATTAATTAATTTTATATTAAGAAAAAAAGAATTTTATCTTACTAGAATAGCTAAATATGGTGTTAAATGTTTAAATATTCCAGGAAAATCTGTATTAACTACATTAAAAATAATATTTTTCACTGCTCCTTTGAGTAATGATTGAAGAATTTTAACAAGTAGAAAAAGACAAAGACAAAGACAAACTAATGAAATAATAAGTAAAACAAGTCCAATAAGCCAATCAGCCCATTGAACTTTAACAAATAAAAATGAACAATATTTATCTGGAACTTGAATAAATGTATCATTAACACTTTCATTTTTAAATGAACAATATCGTTTTAATAAAGATATATCTGCACTAGCATTACCCAATGCTATAGCTTCAATTACGTGATTATCAAGCTAAATATACAAAACAACAATTCATTTTTATTAGAAAGTTTCTATTTTAAATAACATACTTGAATAATTCGTTGTGTTAATGGTTTTGTTATAGCAGTAAGAAATTCAGGATTAGAATTCGGATTTCGTTTTAAATTTATTGATTTTGTTATTGATTCAGTTAAATGATATAACATATCTAAATTTATTTTAATTAAAATAAAACTAAGATACAAAAATCTTAATTTACTTGAAGCTATTTCAATCGGTAATAAAATAAGTACAGTTAACCAATTGAACATATCATGAACAGTTGCACCAGCAAATGCAAGACTAAATTCTTCACGTTTTCCCTTAAAAAAAATGATATTTTGGTTTAGTCTTCTTAATAATAATATACAAACTGATTGTGTTAAAGCAACTAATGTGTTGGTTACAGATGTACCTTTTAAACAAAAATAAATTTAGAAATTTATCTCTTATTATCATTCAAAAACAAAATACCTATATTTGCTCCTAAGAAAAAACAATAGAAATAAGAAAATTTCGATTTTCGATCAATCTAAATATAATCCTACCCATAATGATTGGTATGGCTTGTTTAACAGGTAAAACTAAGGTTTTTTTTAAGTGAAAATAATATTTGTAAATGAATGAAAACTTACTGGAAGATGAAACCATTGATACAACAATTGATGTTGATGTTGATGAACTTTGAACAATAACAGTTGTTAATAAACCAATCATTAATCCAGCAATAGGATTTGAAAGAATTGCTCCTTCAGCAAAAACTTTACCTGTTAATTTACCTAATGAAAAATATTTATTTATAAAGAACTTTTTTTTTTCGAAAATAATATTTAACCTCCAATAAGTCGAAAAGCTGAACTCATTAAATCAAGTGAACAAACAAATAAATATAATAAAGCAAGTAAACCAATTAATCTTAATATTAATAGAATGATGAATTTAATTCGATCTTTTTGATTCATATCTAAATGAACGAAATATGATTGAGAAAATAATAAATTGTTTTTTGAATACCTTTCCATTTGTGATTCTCAATAGGGTTTTCAGCTTGAGTAAGATTGTCACCATTGAAAACTTTGTTAGATTTAAGTCTCATTTTTTATTTTAATGTGAATATGAAATTAATTTTCGTTTCTTTATATAATTTTCTCAAGATTTCAGAACTCATGATGATATTTTAATGACTAATTTGAATATTACTGATATATCATGCGTATTACGCATATGTTTCTTCCTCTTTTTAAGCGTACATTTTTTCTTTGTGTCTGAGATAAGAATTCTTTTAAAATAAGACAAGTGTATTTTTAACGTAAAGTATATTTACATTTCTTTATTAAAATAGTTAACAATGATTTTCGAACAGTTTCTTAATTTTTATGATATTTCAACACAGCATGTGGGTGTGAGTCTTGTCCTCAACGATACCCACACCCACCATTGTTTCAAACAAGATATGCATATAGAGATACTTGTTTTTAGTTTAGTAATGTTTTCAATTATAATCTTTATTATCATCATTAGTTAAACTTATTTGACAAACATACTGATTCATACATTTAGAAATTTGTTAAAAAACGATGTCAATTCACTGAAATTCATATTCTTATGCAAGATCTCTTTCATAAAACTTGAAGATCATTGGATATCCTTATAAAATAAACCATTCATTTTCAAATTAATGACAATATTTGAAGTCAAACAATTGATTTTGAATAAAGGCAGAGAACTTTTACAAAGTGATATCAATTCTTTTGTTGAAATCTTGAAAATTTCTACAGAAGATTAAGGCTCATTGTGCTAAAATCAAAACATTATTAATCATATTGATTTTTTTATGAAGAAAATTCCTTGTAAAAATTTTTTTCAATAGATGATTAGATTTTTTCATATGTTTCATTTTCAACAGCTAATAACATGAAAAAAGGCAAAAATAAATTCACCAAAAAAGTGATGTGCCTTTAATAGAGTCTTTACGACTTCGATTTTTCAATGTTAGTTTTTACACAGAAATGTTTTATATGAATTTCTACATTTGAAGAGTACATTTATCAGCAGTGTTATATATCCAGAAAATCGGAGAAATATAAAGAATCTCAAATAAACATGTTAATCTCACAGAAACCTTTACATTAAAGTTTATTAAAAATAGTTCTAAAATATTTACTGAGAATAGAAAAAAGCATCGGAATATTCTTGAAGAATTCTGCGAAGAGTAAAATTCGATGTTTTGTTTATGATGCAAAATAATCTGTCAGATTAGTGTCACTAAATTGACTTTGTTATATCTTAACTAAAACTATCTTGAAGTTATAGATTTTTGTCTGTACAATTTCATAATTTGAAAGATATGACATTTCATTATTCATTTGCTTTTCTTATCTTTCTGCATAACCATGAATAATAAGCATTGTTATCTATAACGCTTTTCGTTTTTTACATCAACAATACAAATGAAAAGGTTTCATATTCTCAAGTTTTACGTGCAAAACAGAAAGTGAAAAAAAAAATTGTCTCGCTTGTTTTTTTATCTATGGACAATTCATTCAATTAATCAATGCGAAAATTTTTCGGTAATGCCTGATTGATAAAATAAGAAACATAAAAAAAAATTAACTAATCAACTCTAGTTTAACATTAAAAAATGTTTATACTTTTTTCTTATTACGGAATATCGATATTTCAATCAATAAATTGTTATTCGATGTTTTCTCTTTATTTTGTAGAAAAAAAAACCTTTTTTCTAAAACATCAGTCAAGTTATTGTCTAGAACTTGATTTAAACTTTGTCTATGTTATAAGAATAATTCAAATTAAATTTATTCAATGGCTTTTGTCTTATATAAAATACACTACTTAAAAATCACAACATTTAATGTCTCAACAATTGAAATTAAGTTAAATATTATGAAAATATGAATGATTTTCGTCAGTACTTCTGTCATTATTTATTTTTAGGCTAAGTCAAATTTATTTTTCTCAGATGATTTTGAAAATTTAATTATTTAGTTTGAACAAATTAAAACGCATTTGAATTTTTTTTTTACTTTACTTCTTCTATGATCACTTGCATACGTATACAAATATTTGCTTATTATTGTGGAGATATTTTATGCTCAATCTAAGCTTTTTCTCAGATTTTTTGCTTCAATCATCATGTTTTTGTCCAGCTTAGTCATCTTCTATAAGACTGAGAGGAGAAGTTTTTTTTAGTCATTCTCGTTTATCATATTCATTTGGTTACTTCATTTCTTTAGATTTTATTTCTATATCACATGAAACACTTTTATGTATGTAAGAAGAGCGAAATCATCGAATTAAAGAAAATACGATAAAAATGGAAGAATAATTAGCAAATCTCAGACATTGGGAAAAACGCTGTTTTACCGTTAAAACGGTGTTTTATGTAACATAGTTTAAACGGTGATGCGTTGTCCAAAGTATCCATTTATCACAAAAAACGGTTTCGAAGTGTTTAAAAAAGAAACGCGTTTTTATCGTTTAAACGCATCATTTAATATATAGTAAACGGTACTTTATTTATTTAACCAGTATTTAATCAAGTCAATGAGTAGTTTTTATTCTTTCACGAGAGAAAAATATTTATCTAAATAAATAAAAATTTCTGTATTTCTAAAAAATATCATGTGAGTAGAAGTGTTTTGTACAAGTTTCAAATTCTTTTTATTTCAATGAGACAAATGTAGAAACTTTTAATGCAAAATTTTTTATCAATATGGAAATTTTCGATCTTATACGATCATTTTCAACCAGTTAACAAGACTGTATATGTTACAAACCAAAACCAAAAATAGATAGAAAAAGAAACATCATAAACATTAACATCATTAAACATAGACTTGAAAAACTCATATTAATGAATCAAATTATCATTAAGATAATTCAATGGAATAACATTATGAAATTTCTAACATGATATTCATTGACTAATTATAAATCACAATGAGTTTGTTCCAAATACCTATATATCTACTTATATAACTCATGTTTGAATTTCTAACTTGATATCTAATAATTATTTATGAAAGCAAAAGCAAATGAGCTTTAATTTAATTAGTTTAAACGATGTTAATAACTCAATAAATTGTACTTATTATTAGCATCGTTATCCTGTTACTTATTTTAATTGTATCATTGATTTCATTTATGTTATTAATTTCATAATGTTATCTCATTGAATTAATATTACATTGAATTATCTTAATATTAAGTTGATTCATTAATATGAGTTTCTTAAGTCGATATTTATGATGTTTCTTTCTCTGTCTATTTTTGTTTGTAACATCCATAGTCTTATTAGTTGGTTGAAAATGATCGTATAAGATCGAAAATTCCCATATTGATAAAGAATTTTGTATTAAAACTGTCTACATTTGTCTCATTGATTAGATTATTTGAATTAAATATTATTCACTTTTGCTTTCATACATGGAAGATACTGTTTTATAAAAACGTTTAAACGATTGTTTAATACCATAAACGCTTTGATACGTAAATGAAACGTTAAAAGGAAGAAAGGAGGTGATCTTCACCTTTTTTGCCGTTTTTTAGCGAAAAAGTACAATATCACCATTTAAACGGCATACTAGAAATTTTGCTTCTACCAGGGAAGCGACAAAACACAAAAATCTAAGAGAGAAAACCAAATACATTCTTTGTAATTATAAAAATAAGACGTAAAGATTGTTGGATCATCAACGAGGAAGATTTATACAATGTTCGAAAGACTTCTCGAACTAGAGTGTTATAGTTATTCAACCTGTCCAGTTAAGATAATCAATGTCTCGAACATAAAACGATAGAAGTTAGTGACTCGAAGAAGTTTTTTCTTAGAGTTTTCATATAAATAACGTTAATAGATGTCATTTGTTTTGCCTTATAGTCAAAATAAATTGAAAAAATCAAACTATATTAATTAGTATAATCGAAGGTTACACCTCAGTTTGTTTTACTATCAAACCTAGAAAAACTATTCTTTTTTACTGAATCAAAACCAAAAGTTGCTAAGTACATGAAAGTAATATTAAAATAATTATTCTTTCTAGAAATAAACTTTCAAAAAAATAAATTCACTCTTTAAAATTATCAACTTTAACTAAAATAAAAAAATTTTGTGTTTTTTTCTATTTCCAGAAAACAGATTTGTTGTAACATTTCTTTTTTTTTTTGATTTCTTCCATCATTTCGATGTTTACATTGCCAACATGTTGAATGATCATTTTGATAGATATTTGTCTTAATTTGTTTTCACTAAAACCAATCCAAAAGTGTTAAGTATGATTATCATCGAAATCATGACATTGATTCAAATCTTCGAATCTACCAACCATTAAACTTGTCATTCAATTAGAAGATAACTATCTTCGACAAATGGACTGGCATAGCATTCTCCTGCAACATGATCCTTTTAGTAATTTTTGCTTTCTGTAGAACTGAATAGAAAAATTTTTGAAGTATGTCAAGATAATTTTGTTGATCAACAGTCGGTTCTTCAAAAAAGAAACATAACCCAATCATTAATTTGATTGGCATTGCTGAGTTCATAATAGGTTTCACAATGACAAGAATCATGTCTAATATATGAAAAATAGCTTGGTCAGTTATCTCAATAGTTGACGCATAATTTGATGCATAATCAATTTTAGAATTTTTATCGTTTTGAGAAACTCAACGAATATTCTGTTTCTTAGATTTTCTTTACAATACATGACCAACTTCATCCCGCTAGTGACAAGCATTTTCGTGACCGTTTAACGATCATCGATCAAACTAGCTTCAGCAAAACTCTTCTAAACATCTTTAATACTTCCCTCATTAGGAATATAACACAAATATTTACATTGAAAATGTCACCTGAATAATAATCGATATTTATTTGTACACAAGGTAAAAATATCTTCGATTAATTAATAATAACTCCAAAGAAAAAAAAAGAAAAACTTTCCTCAGCACCTGTCAAAGACTGTTGTCTTATAATTGAATTTCAAGTTTAATGATCAGTAGATTCGATGAGTTGGATTGGTCTCATCGCGTCGACAATGCTTATACTTAACATGATTGGATTTGTTTTTCTAAGAACATATCGAAACAAATGTCTATAAAAATGATCATAAAACATCTTCACACTTTAAACATCGAAATAATTAATGAAATTAGAAAAATTCTTTGTATTGACTTATCATTAAAAAAAAGTAGTTGACAATGTTAAATCAAATAGTAAAGATATGAGATAAAAAAGTTTTGAAAAATTATCTTTGCAATATCGTATAGAACTGTTACACGTCTTGCTGTGGTGTAACTTTTAGCTCGTATTCATTTTTAATAGCTAAGCTATGACTATCGGAGGGTGAAAATAATTAAAATTCTCTAGATATGAACAGCTTAAGCAATATTTAAAATTGTTCACTATGAATAGATTTCGACAGATTTTTCTTGTGAGAGAGACAGAAAGAGAAAGGTCAGTTTCATTTTTATATGTATACGAGATCTTGTACGAATTCGAGTAGAAAATTAAGACAAACATTGACATTAGAAAGATTATTTTAACTATATAATAAGTGCATGGGGAGAAAAAAGCGTTTAGAATTTTCAATGAAGACATGTTCATTAGAAAGAGAACAATTTCAATAAGATATTGCTCGGTAACAATTCCGAGTATTCATTATAACAACCTGTTAACATAATAGAGACGTTTTACTCTAAATAAAACATTCATGAATTGAACAGTCGTGTTGTGTTGAATAAACAAATAAATAGAAGAAGAGAAAGATTTTGAAAGAAAATCTGTTTTCTTTTCAAGAATATTTTTGAATCAATTTGATCAAAAAAGAATATCACTGACAATATGACAATGAAGGTAGAAAGTGCGTTATGTAACTATTAAACTAGCAGCATTAAAAAAAAAAAGAGCGTTGAGTCACAGATGAAGTAACTATGATTAGAGAAAAAGACAACAATTAAGTAATGATAAATATGACAATTTGTATTGTTAATCACTTCAATGTGGTCATACTTTTGACTTTTTATAGCTATATTCAATATTTATTCTCGAATATTCATATAATTCATTATTTCCAAGTTTTAGATTTGAAATTAATTCTTATATCCTTTCATTTTCTTATTGTTTCTTCTCAGTCCTATGTTTTGTACTTCTTTGTTAACATATAGATTATTGAATGAAAAAAATGGTCTTTTAGAATTACTGGAGAAAAAAAAAAATTTTTATTTGCGAATATGCTTTAATAAAAGAATACTTTATCAGTGTGTCTTTAAACAATGACAATCTAGAATCATGTATCCATGAAAAAACAGACAAACATTTTGTTTCTTTCGAGATCTCATTTTCTAATTGTAATTCTGCTTTTCAAATAACAAGCAATAGAGTCAACAACAAAAAAAATACAATGGGAAAAAGGAAATGTAAAGTGATGTCAACAAGGATATTTTTCATATATATTTGCTATTAATTTTTGCATTCTTTGCTAAAAACTCATTGGCTAATAGAATCTTTACTTTTTGAATACATTTTTTCAGCTTTCCTGAAATACATCAGGTAAAATAAGCAGATCTTTATAGACATTTACGTATATATCAATTCAATAAAAAGCTTCGTCTATTATTCTTATATTCTTTGCTAAGAAAAACCTCGTCACATATTTTTTTTTCTCATTTAACGTTTATTGAAACAACGGCAACACATTGAATCCGTTGGTAGAACAATCTTGATTGAAGAACATTTTTTTTTTGAAATAGTTTCTACTTGAATAGGTAAGGCTAATTCATAAATGAGATTTATTCTACACTTATTCTATAGTTCTTTACTTTTAAAATGCTTTACATTCATTCATAATCTATTATGTGCTAATTGACGTTTGTGTTTCGAAGATTTGAACTCATTTTAATAGAAATTTGTCATAAGATCTGTACTTAAGGGAATCTTTAGTGTCATATGGGCAGACTAATATAAAAAACTGCAAAGTTGCGTACAACTTGTGATTTATCTCATCTCAAGGGGATAAGCTCATGTATTCGAGTAAGAGAAATTCTCTAACTTTCTCAAAAAATCAATAGTTATTTCTATTTGTATTTCTCATAATTCGAGTGTTTATTTGTAAAGTATCCAAGAGATAATTTCACTCTATGATGAGTGAACATCTTCTATAAATTTCATATAGATTGATACAAGATATAACTGATGTGAATGAATAATCTCTCGATAATTTATGTCTTAAACAATAATTAAACTAAAATGATTATAGTTCGTTCGATCAGTTGTTTCCTACGAGTAGACCTCATACGAATATGATACTTGTTTTGAGAAACCCAACTCTATTAGAGATTAACATGCAATAAGTGAAAACACTTTTGGACTTTAATATAGAAATCTTTGAATACATTATATTAAACATAATCAGATTCAAATATGATTCTATCAAAGAACGTTTTGTTATCACATATCGATTCAATAAGCAAAAAAAACGTAAATAAAATAAACAAAAGCTAGATGAAATCAGCGAAGATAAAAAGTAATCAGTTCGATATTTAATTTAGAAAACTAAAATTTCATGTCGAACATGATAAATAATACTTCGAACGAGACTTCAGTGGATATTGTAACAATGAAACATGAATCAGAACGAACTGTTCGTCCTCATCGTCGTCGTCGTCGTTCTATTATTCGTGAATTCTGTTTGAATACATCAACTCATGCTCTACCAGCAATTGCTCGAAGTGAAAATCATTATAATCGTGCATTTTGGTTGATTTCATTTTTAATTTTTACTATCATAATGATCTATTTTACAGTTGCAGCAATAATGAGCTATTTTAAGTATCCAACATCAATCGATATATCTTATGATAGTGATTGGCAACAATATTTTGCAGCAGTTAGTTTTTGTAATATTGCAGCACTTCGCTTTGATCGATTCATTGAACCTTTTTTGAACTATACGAATTCTCTAAATATAACAAATACAAATGATACAACAACAATATCTGAATATCAATCGCAATTTATTTGGCCTTTTCTTATTGATCAAGTTAATAAAAATGTATCATCGGAAGATTACTTTTTTCCATTATCATCAATGCTTCAAGAATGTATATACAATTTTGAAACATGTACATCAGCTGATTTCATTTCATTTATATCACCAAGTTATGGTCTATGTCATACATTTAATGCTAAATTGAAAAATAGTACAGATGATAGTCTTCGACTTGGAAATTTTTATGGTGGTTCTGGTATTCTCAGTCTAAGCCTTTATGTTAATAGTTATCAATATGTACCCTACTCGACTGATGGTAAGTTAAAAAATAAAATTCATCGAATTATATTATTTATTGTATTTTTTTTAAGCTGCTGGTGTATTAGTTCTTATTCATGATAATAGACAAGTACCAATGATTGAAACGAGTGGTGTTGAATTAGGACCTGGACGAAGACATAAAATAAGTTATAGAAAAAAGAAAACTAATTTTTTATCTTCACCTTATACTGATTGTACAGATAATATTTCGAATTCAATGAAAGCTATGTTTAATAATTATTATCCAGCAGATTATGTTTATTCTCAAAGTAGTTGTTATCAAATATGTCAGCAAACCTATGTGTAAGTATGCCTATAGAGAATAAATATAAATATGAAGTCAATTGTTTTACGTTAAGTTATGAACAATGTGGTTGTGTTTTTCCATATCTATGGTATATACGTTGGATTATTCTACCAGGTACAGATGATATAATATTTGCACCTGTTTGTCATCCACAGGATAGCTGTTTTAACATCGCATCTAAGAAACTTTTTGCCTCTACATCACTTATGAAATATTATTGTTCAGATTGTTCACAAGAATGTTCAACAAGTAGTTTTGTTCTTCAAACATCATCGTCAATGTCATATATTGATTACAACATAGATAAGATTAAAAATTTTGTCGAAACTTCTTCAATGCCATTACCAAATAATTGGACAACAACATGGCGTCAATATATTTACGAAAATTATCTTAGTGTAAATATTCTACATGAAACAACTATCACCGAAACGAATACCCAAATATCAACACTTGGTGTAGTTGATATTATTTCAAATATTGGAGGTCAAACAGGTCTATGGATTGGTATTAGTTTTTTGTCAATTGTGGAATTTATCGAAATGATCTATCGATTATTGAGATATCAAGTACATTTGATACGAGAATCAATACACAGAAAAATTAACATAATACAGTAATCGTTTTTTTTTTCTCACATAATATCAAAAATCTTGAAGAATTCAACTGAAAAGATTATCGATTTTATTTTTTTATAAAAACTGAAAAAGTTATTCAAAATACGAAAGAAGTACAGTTAAGAACAATTACTGTAAACCACTGGAACGACAACACTTTCCAATTCTAAGAAATGATTTTTTTTTTGAGAACTGACTTAAGTCAACAGTGTTTTATTTAAATAAACTGTGAAGTGACCAGTTTCTTTTTTCGAGAATAAACTTCTTTTATCGTACTTTTAAGTTTTCGTTGATATCTTTCGAGCACATTTGTGCAGCTAAGAAACATGGCTCTAAATGAAACAATTACAAGTCTAATGAGTACGTTACTATGAGATGTCTACTGGTACAAGTTCATTTAAAGAGTACTGTTCGATAGATTCTCAACATCGGAGTTAATATGCAACTATCGAAGATCTATAAACGACTGATTATGTTCAGTAGTACGACAGAAGAATTTTAAATGATTCAGAGATGGAATTTTCTTTCAAAAAAATCAAGTATCACCACTTTCTTATGTTATTAAAAGACATACGTCGAATTATTTGATCATTTTAAGGTCAATCGACTGATTTCTGAAAACTCTCGATACGAATTGATAAAGTTCTCGTTGTAATGAATTTTATTATGTTATTTTTCATGTTCATCCTGACTTTGATCAGATGATTGATTGAAATGTAGCTTTCTCGATTTACAATGACCACGAAAAATATCTCGCTACTGTAGAACGTAAACATTTTTAGGAGAAAAGTGATGCAGAATAAATAGTAAAAACAATTATTCTTTTTTTTAATTATACATGTACAATGGGTCCAAAAAATATTCATACACCTAGGTAAGGTTGTACTACTTTCTTCGCTATGCCTGGATGAAATAGTTTAGAGAGGTCAATTATATATGATTATGTAGTACATCATGTCTAGTTTGTATACCATTACTTCCAACAATGTCTATTTTTTTCATTTCTATTTTCTAAAGTAGATAGTTTAATTATGCTGAATTTTCATGACTAAAAATTATTCGTCTGCTTTCGAAGAATTGTGTCTTTAATCAATAATTAGGAATAAAGAAGTACTTTGATTTCATTTATGTCTCCGGATCTTACCGAACATATTTCAGTTTGAATAACTCGATAAAGTCACTTTAAAAAGGAACTCTTTTTGATGAACTACTTTTAAGCCTACGCACTTTGATGCACCGAAGAGAACAGTTTCTTGAGAGGGTGTGGATGTGGATATTTTTTCCTTGCAGGAACAGACCCACACCCTCACCCTCAGTGCTCCAGTGTTCATTGCATCAGAGACGGCGGTGTTGGTATTTCGGCATTTACACCAATACCGCTCATCGCTAGATGCGGGTTTGCGTACGTCGGTGTTGAGTGTGAGTATGGGTCTGGGTTTGTGTGCGGATATGAGAGAAGAGAACAACTTCTGTAACCCTCATGAAAATCCAGATGTGGACTTCAAATAGAAAACAATAGTAGGAATGCTACTCTAACGGTACTGTTAGAGCAAAATTTCATACACAACTGGCTAGTTTAGCAATGAAGAGTTACACAATTTCGAATTTTCGAACATGAAGTACTGGTTTTTGGAAGTATGTTGGCATTTTGAAGCTTAAAAGTGTGTAATATTGTATTTTACTTATGGAGCACGAATTTTAGCGATTAAAATGGGTGGCTTTGAAAACTTGTTCTGTGTGCATCAATGTAGTATCTTTCATAGAGTTTTATCTCACTTCTTATTATTCTCTTAGGTGAATACTGAAAATTATCAACAAAAAACTATGTGCAATATATTTAGTTCTCTGAACGTGAAGCTTCTTTAGTGAGGTCGAAGATATGACTGGATGTCAGTAGTGTATATGTTATCTGTATGAAACACAAACGTTAAATAAGCTTCTAGTAGTAACCAAAAAGTCAACCTATTTGAGCAAACCGAATCAGAGATATTTCAACTGTTTATTCTAGTGTTATTTCGTGGCCCATCCTTTAGAATAAGAATATCAGACTAACGAGTTTGCGGTTTGCACTGGAATCTTATAAAATATTTCATGTCTTGAAAGAAGTCTTGTCGGCGCTTGTGTTCGAATAAATTATGTGTTACATATTCATATGTTCACACATTTTTACCAACGAAATCTAGTGAAATAAAGTCCAGCATTGCAACAAATACATGCGTGTTAGGGACAGAAGAGCGACGAGTTAAAAGCTATCTGAACAATAATGGGTTTCAATACAACCTGCTGCTTATGTTAACGCCAAAAGCTTCATGGCTTCTATTTTCGTCTCATTTAACAATGTATCTTGCAACTTGGCAGTCAATGTTCTACATTGTCTTTTCTTCCTTTTAAAATTGATCTATGGAAGGATCAAGAAGCCGACGCCTTACTTGTTTTCTAAATCTTACAATTTTTCCTTAAATTTGATCAAAGGTAATTAGGACCGAGGAATCTAAATCTGTAATCAGTTTCTCGAAATTTTGACTTTAATCCTTTTCACTGAAACATATTTCTTTTGCCAAAAAATTTCTTTTTATTAAAAACTCGTTCTTTTTACTACAAAAATCAAACTCAAAAATTTAAGAAATTGATTACAGATTCGGATTCCTTAACTACCATTGGTCAAACCTTATAACAAATTGTTATTTTTACAAAATTACCTTTCGTTCAATGGACTCAAAAGGTTTTCGTTAAAAATAAAGGGAATGCATGTTGCGTTCGCGTTCCCATTTTTAGAAACGCAACGCTCAAGAACAGGAAAGTTGACACCTCTACACATGATACAGAGCACGGCTATCTTATAAAACAGTAGCAACAAAAGATTAACACGAGTGAGTCACGAATGGTTTGCCAATAACTTGGTAGAGTGGAATCTTTGGAAAAACGGTGAGTGTGAGTTTGGGTGGTATGAGTGACCGGGTAGGTGACGATGTGAGTGCGCATGAGTGTGGGTGTAAGGTAGATATGGTCATCAGTATGTTGCTTTGTGGGTCTTTTCTTCACCCACATTCCATACGCACACTAAAGTTGTAGACCGTAAATTCTAATCAATTTTCCATTTTAATAAAAGAGAATCTAATTTTTAATCGTCAAAAGTTTTTAAAAACAGGAGCATTCTTCAGTCACTTATCAATCTAAATAAAAATCCCATAATAAACATCTTCACATTTTAAAATGTTTATAAAAACATGGATCCGTAATTACGAACTAGCATAGAAATAATCCTTAGAAACAACGTATCCATCTTCAAAATGATGGCAGTAAAATTATGTTCCATGAACTTTTTTAAATACATATTTAAACATTTTCTTTAATTTCCATAGAAATCGCAACTGAACAACATATTTTCACATTATAGATATTTATCACGGCTGAAAATCTGCCGCTACCAAGGTTACCATGGACATCTCTGCTTCATATTTCCTATTGATTAGAGTTACATTGTAAGAAAAAATCAAACATGTTTTCTGAAACGAGCAAAATGATATAGAAAATAAAATAAAGCGATTATCTAAATCCTTGCATTTAATGTTTATCACTTATCTATATTAGAAAATCTTTTAAAGAAAAACTTTGTCGGTTGTAAATAATATAATCTATTCATAAAAATCCTTGAAAAAGAATGTTGTTTCATAGATATTATCATTAATTACGCATGAAAACTTGTCACGAACTTTATCACAATTACAAATGAGTAGATAAAATATTCTTATATTCAACAAGTGACTCTTTTCAAAGAAAGACATTTAATAGCGACTCAAAAAATTGCAACAAATTGTTTTGTATGGATATATTAAAGATGAATACTACAAGTAGTATCGATAATGCTCTTTTAGCCATACCACGTCAACTCAATATTTGGTTTGGTTCATTTCTTTGGATCGCAGGTAATCTTGGCTGTTTTGGTAATATGATAGTGTTTTGTTCTCGATCATTTCGTAAACGAGCCTATTCAATTTATTTATTGTCATCGACATTGGTTAATTTACATTATTTCAATTTTGTATTACTTACACGAATAATGCAAAATGGCTTTCAATTTTCACTAATGAATCGTTTCATTATTATCTGTAAACTGCGACAATTTAGTTCAATATGGGGTGGTATAGTCTCTTTCAGCTTATTTTCATTTGCAATAATTGACCGGATTTTGTCAACGCAACGTTCATATAGTAAGTACATTATAACAAAAAAACAAAATCGAAAATTTTTACTTGAATTTTATTTTCAAGGATTTCTTCTGGATGGTTTTAAATATATTTACTTTTGTTTAAGGATATCGACAATGGAGTAATCGTGTTTTTCTAGCATATATAATGGTCATTGTAATTTCATTCTTTTGGTTTCTTCTTCTTGGTCATCGAATTATTTTATATAGAATAAACAATGGTACTTGTGGTCCTTTAGAAGGTTTCTATGCTGTCTATGATAATTACTTTCAAGTTATATTTTCTTCACTTTGTCCAGTAATTGTTATGTCTATCTTGACTTATCTTCTAATGAAAAATGTTCGAGGAGTTGTTCAACGAAGAATTCAAGCCGTCAATGGTGTAGCTCCAATTATCAAGCCAAACAATTCAATAATCAATCAAATGGATGCACAATTAACAATAATGTTAACATTAGAATCAATTTTTGCCATTATAACTTATGTTCCATATGCTATACAATTAACTTATGCAAATATAACACAAGAATGGTACAAAACACAATTACAATTGGCTTGGGAAACAGTATTTACTGAATTAATTCATTTATTTTCGTACCTATTTTTCGTGACGAATTTCTATGTATCGATCATTTCAAATGTTGGTTTTCGTCGAAAGTTCAAAAATATATTAGCAATGAAAACACACAATGACTTGACAAATCATATAATTACTATTCACCGTACTTGAATTACTACTAACTATCAGTCGAACTATAGAGGACGGAAAATTATCTGATGAATTGATATAATGATTAAAAACTTGATTTTGTAAACGAGAAATGTACAATTGAAATAAATCATTCGACATCATTAGAAAAGATTCTCTGTTAAATGATACTCTTATTCATCTTTCAATATACGATATAACTTTTCTCTATTGAAATGAAGACATATGAGTAGATTTCTCCAGAAGAACTTCACAAATCGATAGAACTTCCAAATAATGTTTCGATCTTTTCAGGAGTTTTTGTTGCAAATATAACAGTTTTTATGTATCGTTTTAAATCATTGTTTTATTTCAAGAATAGCAATCATTTATACATTGCTATAATTTTATTTTATCATCAATCATCTTTTCTTCTTTTTTATAAGTTTGACAAAAGTATTAGGTTTAATAATATTTATTTTTAATTAACAACTATGACAAGTTGTCTGGATTTTGTACATATCATACTCACAGATATGAGAAAATTATAAAAACAAACATAAAGAAATTTAGTAGAACATAGTGAAATTCTAGAAATATGTATTTCATTGATATTTATATGACCTTATTGTTTTTGTTTCGTTTGATTTTGTTATCGAATTGTTTTTGTTTTTAATGTGCTTATACGTGGCTTGAAAAATGTTTCATATTCGAATTAGAATACAATAATATTTAAAATAATGCATGTTTTTCTTATTTTGTTTTAATTCTTTGAACAGCTATTGAGTGCATTCTAAAGTCTTTATGAGGTTTAGAAAACGTTAAATGACAAAAGAGAATTGTTAGTTAAAATAAAAGCATAAATTTACTATTTCTGGATTTCTGCTTCCTGCACTTTCATTGACTTTGTACTGTGTTTGTTCAAACGAGCGTTATCTAATTCACACTAAATAACACTTTTTTCTATGTATGGAAATTACTATTGATTATATTTAACGTTGGTATACAAAATAATTTCGCATTTTCTTTCGATCAAACGTTCTTTCAGATTTGATTTTATTCTTCAAAAAAAATGAAATGAAGATAAATAAGGACACGTAGATATGTGTTAAAATAATGAAGAAAACAACAGATGTTTTCATTGTCATTTGAACTAGAAGCCTATCGATTATTTTTTTTTTGTCAAACAGAATCTAACAATAGTGTTAAAGATTATAGGGTAGAAATTTGGATTCTCCTCAAGACTGTCAAATTATTTGAGTCTCTATGATGATGTTGCGACCTGTTTCTATCAATGTTTATGTGTATAAATTTATCTGCACTAAAGATATTTAGTTAAGAATATTTATTCTTATCAAAAGCACTTGAAGTTGATTTGTAGCATGTTTTAGGGTCTAGGGAAGAAGCGCACGAGGAAAGTTGCGCACGGATATTTTGCGTGCGTAATATTGATTTCTTGTTTTCGTATCAATAAAAGTCAATTGAACAAAATAGCAGAAATAATTTATTTTTGAAGTGATTAATTGTAATATTAATAATTAGAAGTACAGTATAAGAAGAAGAGCTAATGTTCACTACTGTACAAATACAATGTCACTATTTAGTGTTTCTATTTCTAATGGAGATATTTACTATAAGGTTGTATTATGTACTAGCACACTTAATTGATCAACAATATGAGGGTGTGATTCCATTCTTGATCAACACATCCACACCCACACTCACACCCACTCACACTCTATTGAGCTTGAATTCAACAAAGCTAGATATTTTTTCTCTTTTCTTCGCCTTTCTGATCATTGTTCATGCACAACTAATAGTCTGATATTTCGTGCTCAAGGCATCCGTGCGCAAATTTTCTCGTGCGCATCTTTCCGGATCCCCATGTTTCATTCGGGATCTTTTATAGCACTTCTGCTATGTTTACTAGATTTTGTTTCAATAACTGGAATATAGAATATACTTAAATTTATTAGCAATACCAAACGATTCGTCTCATTTTTCTGTATAGAATCACTAATAATGTGACTGGCAATCGTTTATGACGTGAATCAACCTCTTATGGTCCTTATCATTTGGAAAGTTACTTATAAATGATATAAAAGTAAAATAACTGTGAAATATATTTTATATTGTATATGTTCAAAGTGAAATAGATTAATGAATTGATTTAATAGATTTTCTTCGGTGCTTAAACAGAGATTAGATTACCTTTAGATTTATTAATTCTATATTAATTGCTTATAAAATGAGAAATATATTTTTGTATATTTTATGATTGGAAATTATCTTTCAAATTTATAAAACTTTCTAAAGAAAAATTGTCAATTATATTTGAAATATAATTATTTTATTAACTGAATATTAAATATGTAGATATACATAAAGAAATATTTAATTATTACACGAAAATTGTCAAAGTTTATATTTTTCTTTCTTTTCATTATTATTTTGATCTTGATAAATTTTTCTTTTTCTATTTAATGAATTATTTTCATTTTCAATTGTCATTTGAATATTTATATCAGCGAAACAAGAGAAAAATTAAATTTTAATAGTAGTTCAATTTTAATGACACGAAATACAATATTTATTAATTAATGATTTTTATTTATTTAATTTCTCTTTTGAATTTGTATCATTATCAGAATTTATCTAAATAAATAACTTAATTTAATTAAAAAAAAAGATAGAAAATAAAATTCAAACTTTTTTTCATAATATACTATCAAATGAAACATTTATTTTTGATATTGTAATTACTTCTTCAAATATTTCACAAAATTAAATTATTGATTTCGATAAATTATGAAAAGAAGATAAATATCATTCGATTTCATTTTGTTCATAATTATTATTCAATAAAATATTTTGACAAAAAGAAAATAACATATCGGAAAAGATTAATTAAACCTTTGTCATTGAACACTCAAGCATTCTAAGATTCGAATAATTTTATTTTAATATCATCAATATACAAAAACAAAAAAAGAACAACTTCAATTTGAGTTATGTTTCTATAAATTTGTAATATAAATAAAGGAAAAAAAATAATAAAAATAAGTGAATACGAAACGGTATACTTTTGGTATTCATGAAATAACATCGAACGTATAATCAATATCTAAAAGTATATAAAGCATTGCTTGTTCTTTCGAAAGATCTAAAATTAAGTATATGATCAAATGATATTTGTATCTGATCAATATCATTTCAAAATTAGAAATCGGTTTTCAACGTGGTTTCATGTTGATATTGATTGAAATACTGTTTTGTATATCAACGAATATTATTTTAATCACTGTTAATATACGTTCAACTCAACTTTGAATATTTCCTTATGATTTTCAATAAGTTCTGGATTGTTAGATATTAATTCTAAATATTAAATCAAATAAGAAAAAAGAATGATTTTTAATTAAAAAAATAGTTTTTACAATTATTTATCATATTTCTCAATTTGAATATAATTCTATAAATATAATAAACAGAATAAGTAAAACATTTTCTGATAACATTGATTTTATAAATAGAATAAAGTTGAATACGTGAATATGAGCATATAATTATTCAAAAGACTACTTTTTATTTTGTTACACGACAAATAAATATTTTTTTAATCTAAAATAGAATCAAAAGTAATCGAATTAAAAATGTTTAGTTAAAGATAAAATAATCTATTTTAATTAATAATAATGTTTATTTAAGTGTTTTATTAATTTTTATTTATCTATATCGAAAATAAAAAACTTAAACATCAAATGATGATATCATTTTTTATTAAGTTCTTTTTTTTCTAAACTAAAGATAGACAATATATATATATATTTTTATCCCAATGATGATGAAATTTATAGTTGACTATCATTCCTAAAAAAAACAAAACAAATATTAAATACTGATATTCGTTATTGTTACTTTTGTTGATTGATTAATGTTGCTTTTGTTCTTGTTGTAGTTCCAATTCTTTTTCTTTATTTTCATCGATCTGTTTTTGTCGTTGTGAAAATACGTAAATTTCATTTTTTACTCTTATTATAAAGTCAACAATATCTTTTAAAGACCTACACAAAAAAAAAATTCTTTTTTATACAATAAATCATCCATAGGAAAATAAAATCTAACAAAAAAAAACAAAAAAGAAATACATTAAAGTTACCCATCATTATGATTCAAATAATCATTTAATGGTAATTGTAAAAGTAATTGATTATTTTCATCCTAGAAATTAAAAAAAAAGAAAGAATTAAAAATAATATGTTATGTCTGACATTTTTCATTTTAAATTGAATAAAAAAATTTTCATCATCAAAATATTGTTCGGTTTGTATGACCAAATCGTCTCGAAAATAATCAACATCGATTGAATTTTTCTCGCTTTTTATCCAATCCATAATTTCCTTATTCTAAAAACAAAAAGAAAAGTTAATCAACTGAGATTAAAGAAAAACTGTTTCTTACTCCATAGTCCTTTACAATTAAAAAATCTCTAGTTAAAAAAGTCCAATGAACCAAAACGATCAATTTTTCTTTAGGATGTTCGTATTTATTTGCATATAAACGTAAAAGAGTATCAAGAAATGGAAGCATCTGCATTGTTATCTATAAGAAAATTTAATAATTCAAAATTGACAATTTTTCATATACATAAACAACAATAAATTATGCTTAAAATTGTGAATAATTAATTATAATTAATAAGTAACAAAAAAAATTATATTTGTTATTTAAGACATTTTTATCAATTTTCTTTTCTTCTTTCGAATACTTCGAAAATAAACTGAATTGTTAACTAAATAATCAAATGAATATGATCAATTGTATCCCAATAGATCTTAACTACTAGTAACAAAAGAACTAAATAGAAAAAAATAAATATAAGTTGATTTGATCGAATAAGAACATCATCAAGTAGAATGAAATTTGTTTCAATTTATTCCAATAAATAATAAAATTTTAAAACAACTAACATATGTGGCAGCAGTATAACATTAGTTTCAACAAATACTACATTAATGACTGAAATACACAGAAACAAGAGAAACTTTTCAAGAATGTATATTGAAAATAAAAACTTACATTTTTTTTTGCTTCTACGATAAACACCAGTAATAGCATTAACTAAATAACCTAAAACAAAAGATAATATTAATCATTCATTGATATTTATTTTCCTACAAATACAAATAAAACTTCCTATACTTAGATAAAAGAAATATAGGATGAAAATGAAAACCTTTATTATAGTAAATCACTATAACATGTATCTCGATCTCTCCACTCTCTGTCTTTTTCTCTGATCTTCTACTTGTTAATGTGATGTATCGATATTATCATTTCATCTCGTTTACTTCTTTTGGACTCTTCCGCATTGTGGACATCTTTTTCCGGTCTCATTTGCAGTAAATAACCACTTGGAAGTAAACATTTACTGAAGTTCATCATACTTTTTTCATTCAGCTGAAACTGTACACGTATATGCATACCGGTTTGATTAGTAGGCCGAATACGCTGTAAGAATATAAGAATGGATAAAGAATAGCACTGGACGAAATACTGAAGATATCAGACGAAAATAGAATAGACTAGTCAGAACAAAACAAAAAGAGAGTAGATGAGTCATTTTCCAGACATACCTAACATATTAGCTTAATTAATTCTTTTGTTTTTTTTCTTTGACCATCTTTGTTTCGTTTTATGTTCATTGCAAAAAGTAGAAATTCTCAAAAAAATTTCAGAAGTGCAATTTTAATAAATAATCAATTAAAAATGTTAAAGATTAATACTGATAAATTCTGTTCTCAACAAGTTTTTATTTTATATAAAATTTATTGTATATGCTATTTGAAATCATAGCGCTACTTCCCCTGGAAAAATATTATTACATCCCTGCACATAGTTAATTTTATTTTTCTATTAACTGGAAAATATGACCCTACAAGTTCAAATATCTATAATATTTAATAACGAATATAAGAAAGAAATGATGATTTTCAGTTTAATTAAAACACGTTTTTTTTATTTAATTATTGTAATTTTGATCTTTTTTTGTTGGGAATCAATCATCATAATTTGATATCAATTGTGATCTTAATTTATTTATATTCAAATAAATTAAAGAATAAGAATGAAAACAATTATTTTTTGTCTAACTGAGATCATCTCTGATCCTAGTTCTAAACATATAAGTCTTCATCTTACCTATTTTATTTAAATAATAATTAAAGAGAAAATTAATATATCTTTGTATA